TTCGTGCTTCCCTGGAAAACTGCTAGAGCTACACAGGTTCTCCAAGCTTTAATGTGTGGCCTGGCCTGCTTGGCCCTTCCTGTCACCGCTGGCATTGGAGCACTGGCATTTGCGACTCCTGACAATTTGAGCATTAGCACTTACCGCTCCCCACCCATAAGTATTCTACAGTCTCTATCGTGAACACTAGTTGTAAATTGTATATATATATCTATATACATACACAGCTGTGAGGTGTGGGTAGATGGGGCATAATTCCACAGCAAATCAAAGATGCCAACAATCCATTAAGACCTTGGTCAGTGAGTAGTGTACCAACAACTGAAAGATATCTGAGTCATAATACATCTATTTTTCATTTAACTACATAGCTAAAAGATACGGAATCAGCACAGTGGCCACTCCTCTGTGCCTATATATATCCTGTACCTCCTGCAAACAACAAAGAAAGAGGGAAAGATGTGAATATTCTAGGAAAATATCCAATCCAGGCACTCACTTTCCACATAAGGCTGGCATCCCGGGCTTTGGGTTCACAGAGTTCTGTAAAACTACCGAATGTGACACGCGCCTTGGGCTGCTGGTGTCCCCTCTTCCCTGCCAGGTGAGCCTTCTGTAACATTTACATGGGTTTTAATAGGGCAACATGACATGCACTGATTTCCAACAAACTCCCAATCTTCCAGGGAAGAGCCGGGCAAAAAAAAAAAAAAAAACAAAACAAAAGCAGCTGCACACCAACTCCTGTTCTATTTTGGTACCCTTAACACATCCCCTCATCTCTGTGGCCTCCATATCTTTTAACAAACTGCCCTGCAAGCCTTGCAGGGTGTGGCGTCCGGACTGATTTAAAATCCCCGCATTGCTAAAACCGCATTGTTCTTCATCAAGTTGAGTCATTTTTATGTGAAGTGTCAAGCTCCCTAACAAATAACTCCTGCCAGACAAATCAAGTTCCTCGTCGGAGAGCCGCAGCTAAATAGTTTATAGCTTTAATCTGCTCACCGAGGTGTGCAGTCTATGACAGTAATTATAAATGCAAGGAGAAATTATAGCTGAATGCTTTAACTGCATTAGGAGCCGTTTGATGAACAATCATGAGCTCCTGCTCATTTCCAACAAAAGAGGGCAAGTCAGTGTCAGTGCATTAGAGGGATTTCAGTTCTGCATGGCTTTTCCCTCCCATCTACCACGGAATGTCACTTGTCTCCTACAAAGCAGGAAAAAAGCATCGCGGAAAGCTTTAAACTTGATAGTTTAAAAAAAAAAGACAAAGAGAGAAATGCAGGGGAAAACTGTTTATCATTAGGATTCCAATTTTTCTGTTTTGTTTGGCGGTAGGTTCCGTTTCAAATGAGCTCACGGAAGGTAAGTAATGCTTGTTTTCTTTCCAGGGGCCTTGAAAAAAAACTCCTGCTCAAGCCATTTCTGAGAAGCCTCCAGAAAGCAAGACTTCCTTGAATGCAGGGCAGTTCCAAATCAGCCCCGGGAGCAGCTTCAGTGACCGTGTGTGTCCCTCCTCCCGTTCCATCCTCCATCTGCGCCCTACCTAAGCTAATGACACAATTTAGCTCTTTATTTTCCCCTCCTCACTTTCGCAGAAAGACGTTTTTTAATTTAGCTGAAGAATTACACAAATGTATTTTAAAGACATAAATCCATATAAAAAATATGAGCTAATTAAAACATCGCACTCCCTGTCGCTCACGGATTTTCAATTTAGAGAAAGGGGAAAAAAAAAAAAAGAATTGCATCTGGGTAAATGAAAAGATGATATTGATGGCAGATCGCAGTAAATGAAAAATAATGTTACTCCATATTAAAAGCACCAAGTTATACACGTCAGGGTGGAGCATTCAAGAGTCCAAATGAGGGGAAAAGTGCAGTGGGGACCCGCACCACTGACACTCAGGGAGTTAAGCTGGATCGCTGGATCAAAAGCAAACATCAAGAAAGACAGGCGTTTGTTTCTTGCAGCTTGAGAAACGCCAGAGTTTCCTACTCAACCCTAGTTGCCTCGTTCTTGTTTGGTTCCCTGAAATGAATTCCTAAGATTCAGGAGGATGAGCCCGTTTTCACTGGAATTTGGGTGGCGTCTTGGTTAGACACTGTACAGTAAATGGATTTGTCTCATTACCTGATGGAAGAGGGAATTAAAATACGGAGCGCAGGGAGGCCCCAGGTCCCTCCCTTGCAACGTAGCCACGTGCCACGTAGTGCGTTTTCGGCCAACGTTGGAGACCTTGTGCCTTGGTGGCTTCATGAGGTTCTATCAGCCGATGATGTCACGGCTGTCTCGGTTGTACACTGTGATGTTCACACAGTAGTGAAACCACACTGAGGACGCATTTCTAGGAACGTAGCCCTGTCATTAAGTGATGCATAACTGTGTTTTGATTTACAGTCAGAGCCACCAAGAGGCCCAGGGAAGCCTCACTCTTCTCTCAATTCTAGTCCCCGTTTTATAGCATTTCCTCTGAGATGTTGACGGTAGGAACATTTGGTTCCCAATTGTACCCAGAAACCCCAGGGAGCCAAGAAGCAGAAGAAAAGTGGATGAGTACAGGACGGTGAGCTCCGGTCCCACCCCCCTGCTTACTGCATGTTCACAGGTAAATCAGGAAACCTCCTGAGCTGTGGGTTTATGTGTACCAAGTGAGGATGACTTGCTCATCACGGCTGGCTGGTAGAAAGAGGCCAATGAATGACAGTTTTGCTGTCATCATTATTGTAGTCAAACAGCAGCTGGCTGAAATTGTCAAGGTGGCCACTTAGAGCTAGATAAGTCTGGGAAGACTAAATCCTACGTACTTCAGGGAATGCTGCAGCGCCAGTTACTTTTCTTTTGGTGAATCTACACGAGTGAGGAGAAGCTCATAGCTAAGGTGAACCTACTAGTAGCAAAATAATTTCATGTATTCATTTCATTCTTACAACCATCTCATGTTTCCATTTTCCAGATAAGGAAGCGGGGTGGGATTTACAGCCGAGTGAGCTGAGGTTTGAAGCCGAGTGGAATGACCAGCGTGAATGGTCCTCTGAAGTCACTCCTTCTTGGCTCTGCCTTTCCAGGCTGGGCCAGAGGTCCCTCCTGGGTGCTCAGCCAGGGCATTCCCGGAGCTGTTCGCCTCAGTGTCTGCCAGTGTCCTCAAAGACAGACTTTTGTCCTGGTCAGTAGTTTATTCCCTGGATCAGCTTGCAGTGAGACTATGGCCTCCTAGATAGTGGTACAGAAGGAGCAGGGCCCAGAAATTCATAAAGAATCTTTCTGCTCCAATTTTTTTTTCTTCATGATGTGGTTGAATCAACCTGTATAGGACCGTTTGTGAGAATGAAGCGAGATAATGTTTGTGAAGATCTTGCTGCAGGACCTGGCACGGTTTGCTACTATAATTGGCGTAACTGCCAGTTCACTATTTATTATGCTTCCATTGCTAAATAGAATCTGGTCTATGGGAAAGCACAACTGATATTTGTTGAAAATGAAAGAAATAGGAGGGAGGGAAGAGGGAAAAAAACAAGGAGGGAAGGAAGAAAGAAAAATTTGATAAATGAAGAAATGGTCAGAATCTCCTATAGACACCAAGTAGTTTGGCATATTTGGCTTTTCCTAGACGGCCGGATAATCCATGTACTTAGAGTTGCCAGATTTAGCAAATAAAGACACAGAATGCCCAGTTAAGATTGAATTTCAGATAAACAATGAATACTTTAAAAGTATAAATATGGTCCATGCAATATTTTGGACATATTAATACTAAAATATATTTGTTGTTTGTTTTAAATGCAAATTTAACTGGACGCCCATCCTGTATTTTTTTCTGGCAACCTTACATTCTTTTCAACCTGAACATGTATTTTTATCAAGCTGTCCATAAAAAAGGTGGCAGCTCACTGGACTAGAATACATTCCTGCCAACAATTTCAAGGTTAGGTGTGCTGTTAAACTCGCACACTGTATTACATGGTAATGACTATAATTTTAAGTCCTTATGCATTTTAGACTCACTGATTTACTCTCTGTTTAATTTCTATTATTCAAGAGCATGTAGCTGTTAAAGATATATACAAATGCATATTGAAATTGTTTTAGATTACTTATGTCCTAAAATAGGGGATGCACATTTAATATTTTCTAATGAATTTTTAATGAAAATTTGATTTTAGCATTTGGCAGAGCATCCTATAGGATTTAAGGTATGTCCAAGAAGGGAAAGGAAATGCAGGTCAAGATTTATGTGTTTTGGAAAACACAGATATGGCAAAGCTCCCATATTTTCCATCATATCTTGACATGCTTTCTAAACATGGTATCATTTTACACAATTTGTGCTATCACGCATACCAACGAAGATTAGAGCTCCAGATAACAGTGGTGCCTTTCGCGATCCCTCAAGAACATAACGTGCACAATTCTAAGCAGTGGGGGAGGCCCTGTATCCGTGTCCACAGAGGACCCCAGGAGTGGAGGCCTTTGTTCGCAAGTGAACAAAGCATCGAGCTACCACCTGTGCACAGATGAGGGAAGCATCCTGGCGAATTGGCGTATCTGTCCCGTTAACACAAACACATGCAGTGCTGCATTCTTTTTTCTATGCACACAACACACGCACACTCTCATTGCTTTGAACGACTCCCAAATCTTCAAGCGTGTTTTCCTGCAATCTTCTGGGAATCATAGCATAATGGTGATTATATAAGAGCAAAGCTTTGGCTGTGACTAGTAACACCGTAATATAGTGCTTTGAAGGGCTATATTAGAAATATTTACTCTGTACAAATGCAGGAAGATGTAAAAATAGCTATCTTGTCTTTGCACACATCTATGTATTTAACAAATGCCTTTGTGTATGTTTTCCCAAATTATTGGTTTACCTTCCCTTCCTATAACAGATATCGTACATTTCAGATTTTGACAGAGGATGGATGCAAGCTTCCTTTTTCTCCCTTCTCCCTATTTACATAACGCAGTTAAAAAATGATTACAAACCTAACAGGTGGAAAATTGGTCTTTATTATAGCACAAAATAAACATTACCTATTTGTCTTCTTTACCATGGTTTGGATTCACTACTATCGGATTTGAAACATCATTCTTTTTAAAGGTATTCTATTTATGTCCACCTTTTTTAAAAAAAGCACCCAAAAAGCATAATAGCAAGTTACATAAAATTTAAAATGTTCTATAGCAAATAAATAGGCTGTGGCAGAGGCCCAAGCTCGTGTGTAAATTCAATGGATGTATATTTCGGCTTTTCATTCAGTGGGGTGAGCTGATCAAATCATGCTGGAAACGGAGGGATGAATCTGCCAGTAACATTTAATTCTCATGATAAAGACATGCAAACAAAAAAAAAAATATGGTTTTCATTTGGGTCCAGATCAGAAGCTTAGATCTCACTAAGGGAAGAGTTCCAGATTCGATATTTTAATCTTTTGTTTCATTTTTTGGGCATTCTCACTCAGAAAAACCTCACTAGCTCAGCCATGTGAGCCCAAAGCCACCCAAATACCCGTCTCTCCCTGGGACTCACCTAGTGTCCAAACCTGTGTGATGCAGTCAGAAAGTCAACTGCTTAGTGGTAAAGGGTTGGACAATAGGGGGTGTCAAGCACTTATCTATTAAGCTGTCGCTAGCTTTCTCTAGCTTACTGTGCGTTAATTAAGAGCAGATCGGCACTGCAGCATGACACGAACTAGACCGGTAAGCACAACAGTCCATGTTGGGTGGTCATGCTGTGGTGAGGCCCCGGGTGAAGGACAACTCGACTCTGTGCGAGGCTCACGAGCATGTGCAGGTGTCATGCTGGAGAGGAGCAAAAGGGAGGCCGAAGAAATACACAAAAGGAGATGAAAGGTGCTTGTTATGATCCAGCCTTCCTCATGCTCAGTGCGTGAGAATCTGCCAAGGTATTTGACCTCGGTCTGGGACTTTTTATCCGCAGCTGACATGGTTGGGCATCAGTGCCTGCACAAGCCACGGACTTCTGTGATACATGATGCAAACTGTCTTAGAGCTGTAGGACCCCATGTGCTTGGAGCATAGGTAGGCAGAAAGCCATTTGTGTCTTTAAGTGAAATAAAATCTCAAGGGCATGCATCGCACCTATTTTTGCTAGAGATGGACTCTGATCTTAGTCTACCCTAAAGAAAACAAAAGACGAGAGAAGAAAACAGACTTCTCCCTTCCGCTTTAATGACCCGCAGAGAAGAGTGTTTTTCTACCATCCCTTTAAGGACACGTGCACTGTCACAGGGAAAATGAATGTAGGAAATAAAGGGAAGGGAGTGGAAGGTAGCGACTGCTAAAGAGTAAGCTGCAAAAAGCATTAATTACGCGTAACAATAATAAAGACAACTTTAAGTTATTTGTGAGCTGATTAAGAAATCTCTGTCTAGTGACTGCCCCTAGCAACTGCCCCATCTTTGATCTGTTTTCACCTTCCTCCCACTTCGAAAGTCATTAGCATTGCTAAGGGAAGGCAGGAGGGGTGGTGACATGGAATGGCGGAGAGAAGCTCGTGCTTGTTAACTACTGTGAAGGGAGCCTGGGCTGGACCCTGGAGGTTGCGTCTTGGATACTAAGGGACTCGTGTATCACGGAGGCCTAGGCACAACATCATCTGTGGACTTCATCTCTCTAAATCCATCTTACTCTAGCGCCCCACTCTACACTGGAGGACTTGAAAGAAGAGTTAGGCTTATTTTATCATGTTCTGGTCTCTCATAAAAATAAGTCTACGGCAGCAAGTTACTGTCCTGCTTGGCCTTGGGAGACACCAGCTGCCTCTAAGCAGACCCATCTCCTTTTAACCAGCTCCTCACAAGGCTGCTGTCACCATCGCCTGGGAGCCAACCCATACCTGTGGAGCTATTCTTCATCCACGTCTGTTACAAACTGTGAATGGTGCTCAGGTGACTTGCTGTGCGTTTTGCTTAGGTGGAGTTTTACCGCATGTTTGCTCACAAAAGTCCGACAGCACAACTTACACTTGAATTTAGAGTCTGTGTCCTCTTCGCCAGCTATTGTTTCCGGAGATCTCTGAGCCGACGACACCCGGGAGATCTCTTGCTCCACCTTGCTTTGCTGGTCCGTGGCCATGCGGGTCATGTCCTTCATTTGGAAGCCCAGGTGAGACTCAAGGTGACTGATGTAAGTGGGCGGGGTTCTGAACTGGGAAGCACAGTCACTGCAGTAAAAGATGGGGTGTCCCTTGTCCATGTTTTTCAGAAATTTTGTCCCTCCTGTTTTCCTAAGCTGGTACTTGACATTCGCCAGCCAGTGGCTGATCGTGGTCATGGAGAGTCCTGTAAACTTGGAGATCTGCATACGCTCCTGTGGGCCCAGGTCGGAGAGCAGGTATTTGCCCTCAGAGGTCTGGAAGAGGCTCGAGGCAAACTGGGCTTGCAGAATGAGAAGGTGCTGAGGGTTCCAGTTGGATTGCCGGCCTTTCCTTTTATGCAAAGTGGAGACCTCGCTGGACACATCCTCAAAGCGCCTCACATCCATTTCCAGCTTCATGGGTGGTACCCTGGAGGAAGTGGCGGGCTTGGGGGTGGTTGCTTTCGGGAGGACTTTGACCATGTCAGCGATGTCAGACAGAGCGTGCTTCTGAGGCGGGGATGTACAGGATTGTGCTTGCGAGGACTCGGCTTTCTTGCTTTTGGACTTGGTCAGGTCGATGGGTTGGTCGTTGTTCTCAAACAGGAAGCGCCTGGACACACTGGCTGGCCTCGTGGAGGCCGGACTCAGCACCGGCTTGTCCATGGCACTGAGACTGGATTTGTGAAACAGAGAAATTGTGCTTGAGCTTGGGCTGGAGCAGGAAGGAGAGCGCAAGGGCTCTGTGGCCTTGCCCAGGTGATTGTTCAGGACAGACTGCAGGGCGCTGAGTGGGTTGATGCATGGCAGGGCTGGGGTGTGGTTGGCAAGGGCACAGCCGTTACTAAGAGAAGACACTGGCTCCAAGGACTGTGGCTTCTCTTTCTCACTGCTCTCTTTCGTGGGCTTGTCCTCCTCTTCCAGGGGACATGGCTCAGCCCTTCTGGGTTCCAAGGGTGGCTCACTTTTGGAGAAAGAGTCCCCCTCACTGTGGCTGAATGACGATGCCTCCTCCTGGGCACTTTCTTTCGCATTGTCCTTCACCACCTCATCTTTGTCTTCTGACTCCTTCTTAACTTGGGTGTATGGGGCCAAGTTGGTGGGCACAGACACGAGTGGCATCACTTTCCACTTCGGTGCAATTGGCCTTAACTTGTTGGTGAGATTAGGCCGAATCTGCAGGACCTGGGATCCCATGGGCAAAGGTGGCTTGGTGCCCTCTGACAGCTGGTAGGCTGCGTGGATGCTGGGGTAGGCGCTCCAACTGGGAGCGCCATTTTGGGCTTTGTTGATGGCTGTGGTGACAGTATTTTCGAGTGACTTCAAAATGTCCCCTCCACCTTTGGAGCCATCTTCTAAGTCCTCCTCCCTTAGATACTGGTATTTTGTGGTAGGATCTAAAGGTTTTTGCAGGGGGTCTTCATACTCCTCACTTTTCACGACTTTTTCTTCGTTGTTGGTTCCCTCCGATCTCTCTTTTTTGCTCTCTCTCTTTAGCTCAGTGGTAGAGGCGGTACAGTCAGATGCAGAGTTGCTCGATGGCTTGGGAGCCAGACAATCATTGCTTGGGGTCTCTGACAATGACTGCATCTTCTCCACTGCCACGGGGTCTAACACCAGCTGCTTCCCTTTCTTGGAGGCGGAGCTGGTGACCTTGAGAAAGTGGCCGGTCACCATCATGTGCGTGGTGAGCTGCTGCAGAGTGTCGTGGGAGCTTCCGCACTCCATGCACTTTAAGATCTGGGACTTGCAGGCCTCAAACTGCCAGGTGTAGCTGGCCCCATTCTGGTAGCCGTAGCGGTTATTGGAGGACAGCTGCAAGTTGGCATTCTTCTGAGAAGGAAAAGAATCTGCAAACGATCCAGTGGTTGAATCTGGGGAACAAGGCCGATTGACATCAAACACACGCTTCTTCGCTGAAGTGACCATTTTCGATGAAATGGTTGGGACTGGCTCCTTCAAAGGCACTTTTTGGTAATGCTTTGTTTTGATCATATGGACGCTCAGATCTTGGAGAGAATCGAAGGAGTCCCCACAGAACATGCATTTCAGAACCTTTTGAGCATCCTCCTTGTCCATATCCTGGAAGGCCCTTTTCCGGGGCTTTGAGTAGCTCGTGGGTCTGAGCTTGTCCTTTTTGCGGTTGTCGTCCTGGTAGTGGCCCGTTTCATTCATGTGCACGGTGAGCTCCACCAAAGTGTCATAGGCAGCACTGCACTGCCGACAGCGGAACCTGCTGGCCCCCGTGAACACCGTCCCGCACATCTTGCTGCTCTGACGATACAGCTGCACCGAGCTGAAGAGGCTGGGTTTTGACACGGACCTGGAAGGCAGGTTCTGCTGCAGGCTTTTGGACAGCGCGTCTTGGTGCCAGTCAAAGTCGCCCTTGTTGCTGCCATTTCGGGTGTCACAGTTCCTCCTCTCGCTGTTGGAGAGCTTGAAGCCGAGACCCAGGCCTGACCAGTAGGAATCGGACAGGATGTTGGCATAGACGGCCGTCATTTTATCCATGCAGGTGTGTGCTTTGTTCGGAAGCTCGGGGTGAGGGTTCGCCTTCTTGTCCGAGGCATCTCGGCCGCAGACGCTCTTGATGTCGGACACCTGGTCACTGGCATCGCTCAGCAGAGACTCGCTCTCGGCATCCTGGTTGGACAGGTGGCTCCCGGGAGAGTTCTGGCAGCTGAAGTAGCCTTTCTGCTCTGGGCCTGTTTCTAGCTCCTCGTCTGTCCCTGTGTCATTGCTGATCTGAAGCTGAGCTACTGAGCCACTGTCCTCCTCCTCCTCCTCCTCTTCTTTTATTTCTTCCTCTTCCTTCAGCTGCTCCTCCTGGGCGTAGCCTGCAAGAGAAGGAGAAGAGATGAAATAACACCAACGGGTTACACATTCCTTTCCGGTGTCCCCATTTGGATAAAGCACTTTCCATGCTGAACTGACCAGGAGTTGAATCTATACATTTGTGAAATCCAACACATGGAAATAGGGAAGAAGCCAAATGGTGTCTTTTGTGCCATTTACTGCTTTAAAAGAATTGGCAAGAGTCATTATTCTCTATAAATGGCTGGCATCCCAAGTTAATAGTTTTGTGTTTAAGAAATATCACTCTTTAATGGTTCCTATAATGGGACAATTGCTAAATTTATATGTATGGATTTCAGGAATTCTGGATTGAAGCTCAAATCCCATGAAAGCAAAACAGGAAATGATACTGACTCATATAAAAACCAAGATTCGGCCCTTGGCATCATAATGGTAAAATTTTCCAAAATAGTTGAACGTATTGGCATATACTCAAGTAAATATATCATTTTTTGAGCACTGAGAAGTAATTTGGATGCACAGCCATTGTATTTTTGATAGGCAGTCTCTTTTTGTTGTAACATTTTTTATTTGTAGAAAGTTGCACTGCAGGAAGAGAGATTATGGAATATGCAAATACAACCTTCCATCGATACCAAAAAATCACGTACAGTCAGGAAATATAATGATTTTTAAATAATTGCAAATGGTGTTGGAATGGGACATTTGGGGACTATCCTATTATTTTCAAACAGGTTTATGAAGACCTTTTCAGACAAGGCTGAAAATGCCCTCTCAATCTTGTTCCCGTAATTTCAAATGCATTGTGATTTGTGGGCACCCGTCATGAGATGCCAATTATGTAGTTGATTTGTAGATGCAAAATGCTATTGGGATGCACGCTTTCCCTTCTCGGAAAGGATTTAGGACTAGTAATGGTGCAGGGAAAATGAAGACACGAGAGAGTGGGTGTAAAGGGCATAGATGGGTAAATATCTATCAATGAAGATGGGGAATGTGACTATTTATATCCATGGGCTCATTTTCTTCACCTGGTCTTTCAGACTGTGTGATAAAATGTAGCCAAAGAGGTATCCAAGGAAAGGAGACTCATTCTTATATATGCAAGGATTGCGTGATCTCAATGTACTCTTTTCCTTAAGAGCTTGGATTTCTCTGTGGCAGCAGGTGGCTCATTGGAAAAAGCCCTAATGCAGGAGGTATCATTTCTGTCCACCAAGGATAAAGTCTGGGAGTGGAGTGGTCCTAAGTGGAGGCAGGCAGAGAGAGTCTGAAGAGAAAGGGTTGGTTAGGAATTGGGCAGCTGCAGTCAGGAACCCCAATGATGGGAAAAAGAACCAAGCTAACACATTTTTCACTTTGTCTAATAGTCACACGATGTAGGTGCTACTTTTATTGTCATTTTATAGGTGGGGAAACTGAGGCTTTAAGGTTAAGAAATTCACGCAAGTGCACACCGCTAGTGTGGCAGGAGCACAGCATGAACCCAAGTCTGTTTGATGAGACAGTCTACGGTCTTTCCAAGTAGGCTCCGCTCTTTTGCTGTCAGTAACCTAACGAATAAGGAAACTTTGCCAGGACCCAAAGGTTGAAGGTTAAGCAGTGAAAGTCAGTAGAAATATCACTAAATAGATAACCACCTCGGGAGGCAGACTGTGGGAATGCCGGAGACAAGAGCCCATGAATTGAAGACATGATGCTCTAAAACAAGATGAAATATAGTCGAGAGTTTTATAGTTGCGTTTGTTATTTTATTGTTACCAATATGGTGTTTTTGCTTCCCCAAGTTGGCAAGTAGATTTTAAATAAAATTAAATTGGTGTTGCTGGGCTCCAGTTCCATAAATTGATTTGAAGAAACTGCTGGTCAAAGAGCCATTAATAGGTGGTTACTATTTGCAAGAAAACTGTAGTTTAAAGTAACTGCAGGACCAAACTAGATCATCCCTGTCATTCTCATACCATTTTCTTTGCTCTAATTTAGATGTTGGCAAAAGCAGTTAAACCATTAAGTTCAAGGAGAAAATTCATGTAATAAAATTAATAAATGAGTTGTTACTGAGCCAAGTAAGGTGAAAAATCAGGTAAATTTTCTCAAAAAGTCATTTTGAGGATGAAATTAGGCAAATTTTATTACTCAGATAGGATCACCGTTGAAAAATAAAAGTGTGCTTTTATTTTGGGCTAAATACCAGGTCATTAGGCATCAGGCAGGGCCATTCCAAGCTAAGATATAAAATCACCATATTTAAGGGCGTCGTGAACAGAGCAATGAAGTATGCACGGACACACACATGCATACACGCACCTAGGACAAGTGAAGACATCTAGGGAAAAGGAAGGGAACTCTCCCTCACCGCAACTGGGTGGAGGTATTGCTGGGTTTTGCTCATTATTTCCATGCTTAGGCAGTGCCTGGCACTTAGTGAGAAGTCGGTGGGCAGTAATTTATGTTTCACATTGTGTGTCAATGAAATGCACACGTGCTCTTCCCCCTGCACATGAGCATGCAAACACACACATACACACACACATTGTACCCAGCCAATACAATCATTTTCAAATAAGGAGAGAAGAAGAAATGTTCTTCTTTTTTTTTCCCCTGCTGACATTTGGAAGCTGAGCTTTCCGGACCAGCTCAACCTCACAATCTACCTTGTCCTTCTAAATGGATTCCCCAGAAGAAAAGTCGGAGACAGCGCACGCCTCCCCCACAATGCAGACAAAATTTTCTGCTTAATTAGGCATTGACATGTTTACTATAACCTTTTACAGAAGAGTAACTCGTGCTGAGAGACCCTTTTTGTCTGTTTTCCTCTGCAGAACAGACTAAATCCCATGCACCCGATAAGGTAACGTGTTGAAAAGCTTCATAAAAAAAAAAAGTGCCAAGGCATCTGTCAAAGTGAGTGTATTTTAACAATGGCTGAGGGTTCCAAGGAGTTCTAAAGACCACATTTTAATATTATACATTTAAAACTGTTCACTTGACTTAAGTGATTTTGTTTGCCACCGGCAGTTGAGGCGAGAGAGAAGCAGGAACCATAATATGGGAGATCGGATGCCTAATGAGTATCTGTCTCGCTTTCTATCGATGATTTGTTTAATAAGACTGCATCATGTGTAAATCTTGGCGGAAAAGGATGAGTGGCAAGTTTATTCATATGAATACTCACTTAACAAAAGAAAACTATCACAGAGATGCCAAGGCACAGTAAGAAAGAATCTTTTTGCTAATTTGGGGTTGTAGACCAAACATGACAGGGGTGAACGTCCCCTTTTCTAACCCACATTTCTGCTGGCGTCCCTTCCTGCTGTTTGGCTTTGGTCTTGGGGAACTTCTGCATTCCCGGGGTGGTTAATTCAGTGAGCAAACTCCTGTCTGTTATTTGTCTCAGTGACGGACTCAGGAGACCTATTCTCCTGTCCTCCACTCCATGGCCGCTGCTCAGCCTGAGCCGCCACTCTGTCCACTAGGGTGACTCAGTGGTCTTCCTGTAGTCTGCTGCTCGAACGTCTTATGTGACATGGGCCAGGTTGTGATTTCTCTGCCCAGAAGCTTCTTCCTCTGAACTTTCAAGTCTCAGCCAGTAGTCCTTTCTAAGAGAGGTTTTCCTGACCAAGTTCCCCCCTCCACAGAGCTCTCCATGGCTCCATCCTACTCACCAAACCTTGTAGCACGACCTGGCGATCCTACTTGTTCGTTTATTCATTGGTTGTCTCCTCTCACTGAATGTGAAACCAAAACGCCCCTCTGAAGACAGAGACCTTGCTCCTCCCCAACACCCAGATCACAAGCTGGTGCACATGATTCCATCCTGCCCACCAGTGACGGGAATGAATGAACGAGTGAACAGACACACAGGTGGTGCAATGGAAGAGGGTTACCCCAGACCCTTGGATGGGTGAAGACCCCCTACTCCCACTCCATGAACCTGAGATGCGAACCACAATGCTCCTAAGAACGGTACTCAACGATAAACCCAGAACTCCTGCTCCATAAATTATCTTTTCAGATGAAACAAGGCACCAACTTCCTTGTCTCCAATACTCTGGGGGTGGACTCACACTTGCAAGTATGAGCACTGCAAATCAGCACCAAGACTGCAAAACATCAGAAATTATGCTTTTTAAAATCCATGGCCAGAGGCCCAGGATTTAGCTCAGCGGTGCCGCTGCCTGCCTCGCAAGCCTAAGGTCCCAAATTCGATCCCCGGTACCAAAAACAAAAAAAGAAACAAACAAAAAAGAACAGTCAGAGAGATCTTTGGAACTGGGGGTTAATTTTGCCTGTAACAGACAAAGGAAAACTCCATTAACTGTTTTGGGATAGATACATGTTACACAAATATCAGGGTAATTGTTTCCTGGATTCTTCACTTTCAAAAGGAGAAATGTTATCACTGCAAAATTTTACTCTAATAGTATGTGAGTACGATTCAGAAATAAATCCTTAAATTTAGAATTTTCCTCTTAAAGATTTAAGAATGAAAAGGGAAAATATTTTTTAAATGACCAATTCAATTTTGACCTCTAGTCTTGACCCAAGACCTCTAGTCAGAATAATTTCAATGAAATTGTGCAGAATAATTCACATGTGGCCTTATAACAGATAACAGATATTTGCTAGCACACATTTTTTGTAGTTGCCTTGAAAATCCACAATCGAGTATTTACGGTGGAAACACTGACAGGCTTTTTAATGGCACTAGAAGTGCAACAGTTATAACCCAAGAACAATTTAAAGCTCAAGAAGGCTGAGCTTCAAAAATAAACCAGGATTTAACTAAGATCTCATTTAACAACAAGTCCGATGGCGACAGGATCATTTTCACCAATCTGCTCCAGTAAATGACAGTTTAAAGTCACACGGAGGCTCTGAAGTGTGGAAGGCAGGTGTAAATGAGGGACGGGGAAGGCTGCTTGCCGTGTACCAGTGGGTACACTGTGAGGCCACAGAGAGGGGCCTGCTGTCATGAGTCACCTGAGTCTTGGCACCTGTGGCCTAAGAGCCTTTTAGC